TAATAGTTTTGGTATTTCTGTACATCAGTTTTTAAACTAGAAACGGAAAAACTTTACAAAATTTGTCGATTTTCTATGATTTCTCTGTTTTCCTACTGAATTGCGCTTTTTCTTCAGGCAGCTTTTCCAACAGATGTGATTCTCTTACGTACAGTAAGTACTTACAAGATGATGTCGTTTTCACCATTCAGCCATCTTCATCTATGTATAGTTTGAAATTGAAAAGTTTGGCTGATGAAACGCAATTCACAAATTTTACGCGTCATTACCGGTACAGCGGAGAAATTGCCGGTTTTGAAGGATGTTTGGATTATATTTGGGGGAGCGAAAACATCGAAGTAAGCTTCTCCATCAGTTCGTTCATTCACACTTATTTTGTTTTTATGTTGTCTCAAAAAACATCAAAAAACAAAAATCAGAGCCCCATCTGTATTCTTTCTGTTGCTTTCGAGAAGCGGATGCATTTAGAAATTGCTGTATTAGTAATAAGTTCCAATAGTGGCCACCCTCTGATGACGTTGTTGACGGCTATTTTTTCGAAGGTTGCTTAGAAGCAAGCTGATAGCAGTTTTTACTCCCGAGCATATGCCTGCACCAGTCCAGTACTAAAATAAAATGGACGAATCGTAAAGAACGTGAGTGGCTGGTAGAATTGTTTGGAAATTGGACACTAGTCTGTAATTTTAGAGACTTTTAAAGAATTTAAACTCACCGAAAATGCTGCTTCTTGAAATGGTTATTTCAATTTAGGTTGAAAAAGTAGTACCGATGCCACCAAAAGAACTGGTGAAGAAATACACTGCGTTACCGTCGAAGATCTGTCCCAGCGACCACTTGCCTTTGGTGTGTGATGTACGGTTTTGTTGAACTTGTACATTAGTAAAGTAACATTTTTATAACCCAGGCTGGAACGCACCAGGCGAGCCGGTGCGATCATGCGTTTTTGCATCAAACTTCGAAGTACCGTCTCTTATAGAGGGAGAATGGGGAGAGAGAAGGGGGTTCCACATTGTGCCACCATTCATCTGAAGACGGGGTTTAATCATTTGTGCGAATCGACGAATTATTGGCCCATTGCTATCCCGCACAATGATCAGGGCAACTTCAACTTCCTGGCTTTCCCGGTTCTGGAGATGAGGTGAACTGATACACCCCTCATTTCCAACTACCACTGCATTTCG